CTTCTACTCAACTTAATACCGTAACCCTATGAACAGCACATTGTAATATGGTGGAGGTATAATATTCATGAGAAGTTAGCCCCCTTCTTTAAATTTCACACAGTCACATCTATTTTTTTCCATTTCTTAATTCACTTGCATACAAACGTCATCCTCTAAGTGCACTAAATTAAAATGGTGTCAGATACATTATTTCTATCTTGAAATGTGTGCTCCTTACTGTATAGATTAGTGATTCTCAACTAGTACTGCAGCAAAACATGCAATTAATAACATAATCCCAGAGACTTCAAATAGGAATCCATGGTGTTCAAAGCATTCTGACCTGCTGTGGTGTTTCCAAGTTCTTTGCAACAGCAGGATTACTCTATTATTTTTTCATAGTCCAAAAAACACCCCACTGAGCAAGAGGTAAGCACTGGCATTTTCTATGGGGCACCTCGAATCTAATGAAGGGTGCCTTGAGTCTACAAAAGGTTGAGGACCACTGGTATAGGCATTTGGTGACCCTTGGTAATGACAGTCAGAGGCTGTCCCTCAGAAATGGCTGTGGTTGGCTTTTCTAGTATAATAGAACCACAGACTTATTCCCTGACTTTGAAGACATAATTTATTTGATTTATTGTAAACACAACTGAGGAACTAGATGATGAGTTATCGCCTTGCAATTTAGGTGCAACAGTTGCATAGGTATGATATGAGAAACCAAACTGTCAGAATACAGGTACTGAAATCATTTTAAGTGTCCAACTATTTCTGTAACACATGAAGTCATTTTATAAAAAGCAATAAGGCACAACAGGATGTACACTGTTGGTCTAAAATTCCACTCTCTCAGGAGATTGGAAGCACCTGGCCTTTGGCCCCAGGTTTCACCACGTTTGGTTTGCTGTCAGGGCAAAACATGCATCTCATGCCAAATAATGTTGTTAACAAAGTTTGAGGTCAGAAATAAACAGGGAACAATTCTATACAAAGATTTCCAAACAATGAATTGCAGCTTCCTTTACTCATCTTAAAAAATAAGGAATTGCTTTGTTAAGAAAACTAGAACTTGCATGTTTTACAAACAGATATAACATACCCTTCTGATGAGCAGTAGTGCCATGAAATAATCTCACATTGACTACATGCTGGTATGCAGTTATAATTATTGTTTGGTCAAATAAAACATACACTTCTCCAGATGTCCCTCCAGGTGTGCTAGATTTTATCCATAAATAACCATTGAGTATAATGTTACAGAGGCCCTGGTTTATTTTAGAGACATTATTTTATTATATTCATTTAACTGCAACTTCGTATATGTCAACAGTCCTACTCTATTTTGTCAAACAGAGAGAGAATCTAGGTATATCTATTATAGGTAGAGCTGATTAAAGAGGTGTCCAGGGAAGAGCTTTTTTTTTCAAAAAAACATTTAATTAAAAAACTTTCACAGGTATGTGTCAATTTTATTTCCTTTTTTACTAGAAGAAAATTGAAATAATCATTTCAGGTTTTTAGTTTTGTAATATTTCAGTTTTAATTTATCCTTTTGATTAATTTCTTTTATATTTTTTGTCTGGGTAATATTTTAAATTTTAGTACACTATGTTACATGCAGTATTTTATATTACAGCCACATTTTGAAAACAATACATTTTTTACCTGATCAAAACAAAATGCTTCTATGTTTGTTATGTAGATGCACCCCCTGTGTAGCAGTATTGATATCAACTTTAATCTTTAGCATGGGTGGGATTTCTGTCTCCCGATTAAATAAAAAATGTAGTATTGCAACTAACAATGGGAAAGCAACACTACATAAAGTAAAAGAAATAATCTCTACTAGGGCTGTGTGAAATTTCACCAGGTGTTTCATTTCAATGCTGTTTCAACTGGTTTAGAGCTTGAAATAGCGAAATAGAAGTGAAACAAACGGCTTCAAAACAGCCTCAAAATGAAACCAGGGCACTTGAAATGTTTTGAAAGTTTTGAAACATTTTGAGTTTCGAAGCTGGGCTTGCCTGAAAGGAAAGAGAAAGAAAGGAGAGGGAGGGGGAAGAGTGGGGAAGGACTGCTCTGACATTGACTGTGTAGCTGGCCAGTGGCTGTGATCTTTCCCTGAGGTCCCTTCCAATCCCAGCGGTTTGGGGGAGGGATGGAAAAATAGCTGTGCCTTACACACACACACACACACACACACACACACACACACAGAGTCACACATCGTGAGTTTTGCTTGTCAGCAGCTTGAGGTGCATTTTCCCAGTACCCCCTGCACCTATCTCCTTGAAACTTGCCAGACTTCATGCCCTCAGCAGGGTCTACCATCTCTGCAGATTTCATCCCACTGTGCCTTCACATACACATGTGATATAAGTTTTGTTTTCAAGAATTTGAGGTGCAGTTTCCCAGAAACCCCTGTACCTATCTCCTTGTAACTTGGCAGATTTCATGGCCTCAGAAGGAGCTACCATCCCTGCAAATTTCATTCAAACCAGGCAAGAAATGACAAAGTTATAGGCAGTTTCATGCTTCCCCATTATAGCCTAGAGGTGAAATGTCAAAACAGCAAAACAGTTTCAATGAAACAGAATGGAACAGTGCTTTGAAATTAAACGAAACTCGAAATGAAACACTGTCCCTTTGAAATGGATGACAAAATGAAATGGTGCTATTTTGTACAGTCCTAATCTCTACTATATTAAAGAAAGTTTAAAGACTGAAGTTGAGAGTGAAGTGAGTAATTTAAGTGAAGATGTTCATGTCTTTAAAATACATGTGGTTATGAAGCCTTTAATCATCATAATCTGTAATATTTGAGGGTTTAAGGGTAAGGACCTTTTTAATTATATATATATATATCCCTTAACACTGAGATTTTCTCACAGTATTGTTTAGTGGGAGGAATGAGTTGCTGGTTTTGTTTTGTATTTTAGGTCTTTTTTATGAAAAAAAGCAATAATGGATTATTTTCTTCTATACATTTTGTTAATCTATGATCACAAATTTTACCCACAGTTACATTTAAATCTTAATAATTAAAACAAAACCAAAAGAGAACATAGCTTGAACTACAGAACGGTTTTTAAAACCACAAATATCCTTAGTTCTCATGCCTATAAAAAAAACCCCCAAATCCTGAAAACACATTTGTTATAAATTATATCCCAATCACTGGCTTTTATGGCATGTCATATTTTTGTTAAAAAGTGGAAACATATTGTAGGACATCATTGCAGAATATTAACTTTGTGTTTAAATATTTAGCCAACAACATCTACCACATTTATAACAACAGCATTGAAGTGTTGGGATCATCCCCTGGGAGAATAAAACATTCACACAAGTGATCTCCTTTAGATTTTGGAGGTGTTAGGTTTTGGAGGGCTGGAATCGATGTGAGCTAGCTCACAGAATTCCTTTGATCATTTGTCTAATTTTTCTTTCACACAAACTTTTAGCAATTGCATTATCAATGGCATAAACATCAAAAGCAATATATAATCCTAAAGAAAAAGAGTTAACACAGGATTAAGATAAATAATGCATCTCATTAATCTAAGACAAAATAGAAGTATTATCATAAACCTTAAGAATGATAAACGTAGGAATTTCAGAGTAAAGGCAGTGTTGCCAGCTCTCTTGATTTAATTGGGAACCTCATAAAGATTTGTTTTTTTTTTCTAAGACTGCACTTCTTAGTGGTATGTAAATTATGCGAGAATCTTATTTAAGAGAATATAAAATGTCTGGCCTATCATGCAAACAAGAAAAGCTTGAAAAATATGCACACTATAGGCCTACAAACCAGAATGCAAATCCAAAGGATGCAAAATGTATTGTGAAAAGAAACAAACAAACAAAAAAACCCTCTTATTTTTTGGAATCGCTTTGTGATATTTCTCAGAAAAGCAAAATGTGATGTAATTACATTAACAAGCAATTCAAACCTATTAATGCACAGTTAGGACATCATGCTAAATCTATATTATTATGATTAATCTTGCATGCCAAACTTTTAAAAAACTGTTAATTTAAATCCGTCTCTCCCCCACCCCTACTTTGTTTGAGAACATACTATTTTTTTCTCCCTCCTTATCCATGTGGTCACTACATGGCAGAATTTGGATCCTGCACTGCATTTCCAACCTTTCTACATTACACTTGGGAAGCAATACACATATATTATACTCATGAGAATCTTGTTCATTAAAAGAAAGCAAACAAGAACTATGGAACATAGGGTGATTTTGCTTTTAAGTCGTTGCTCAGGAGTATAATTATGGGTTCTACCATTCCTTGTTTCTAAAGATATACAGACAGTTCTGCAGAGATGCTAAAGAAGTATTGCTAAAGAATAAAAGGGAAAAATAGCTAAAAGTTTTGACAATACAGTGCTTTGTTTTTAAAGATGGAAACAATTCTTAACCTTAGCATGGTTGGTTGTTTCCAGCTTTCAAAGCCACCTTCCCATTTCTCTTACCTTTTTGGGCTAAATACAAACAGTCAAAAAGCCCAAGGCTGAATTGATTCAATCT